TAATTTCATGGGAGGATTTCGAGCAATTGATCGAAGAGTGATTTTTGATTCTGTTATTGTTATTATTATTATTATTGAAAATGAAATAATACGCAATGTGCGAAACGAGCGGTTAAACAAACTCAATTAATGTTTATTATTTAATCTTTGTCGGTTTACATATTATGGAATAGATTGCGATAAATTGTGCGGTTTATAATACATTAAACTGATTTTGCTTTAACATCGGAGATTTTATCTGTGAATTTTATTTCCATTTTTTTTTTTTTAACAAAAGGTTCGTTTCGTTATATTTCATATTTTAAACTGAACTTATTCCCTCGTAAGGAATTTATTTGTGACATGTACATATATATATATATATATATATATGTATGTATATATTTCATATAGTGTGCAAAAAAATTAAAAATTTTATTTAAATAAAAGCCGCGAGTTTTTAAATAATTTTATTTCGCAATTCACTTTTTACGAGCTGCAAAATGTAAGACTTTTAAAATTGTTCAAAGTGCGAAAGATGCGGTAAAAAAATACATAATCGCGCTCGGAAAATTTACGCAAATATTTTTCAATCGTACAATGAAAGCACAGCGACCATTCGACGTGTGACCATTGGCTTCTCACCTACCGTGTTTGGATGTTTCCATGAATATAAAAATGTGATTCATATTTCCATGAAATATTGATTTTAACACTGCGCGAGCTCCACGAGCGCCTCTCTTTTATTCGCCACGCAATTTTTATTTTTTATTTTTTATATATACGCATCTTTGTGTGTAATGTAATAATTATTTATGTTGAGAAATTAACGAATGTGAGTAACGAAATGATTGTAAAGATAATTAAAACTGTTAAAAACTGTTAAAATACGACTGTTAAAATCGATTTCAAATTTCTGCCGCAACGTCGCCTTTGATTGTGAGATCTTCTCTTCTCCGCCATCGCGCCGAATCGCGCGCGTAAGGGAAGACGCAGGCGTAAAGAAAAAATAAAAACAAAACGTCCGCGTAAGTTGACGGAAGCGAGAGGAGACGGAGATGAGGAGCGGGCGTAAGAGGACCGTGGAACGAAAACGATATCCCCGTCGGCACGTGCACGCGGTTAAAAAGGTTCCACGAGGTTTCGCCGCGGCTCTTCGGCCCGGTAAAAGCGGAACCGGCTGTCGCGATACGGATCTGACCAATCATAAAGACCGCCACGCACCAACATACACACATAAAAACGGCCACTTATTCATCCATCAAGATCCGCGCAGCGAACAAAGGCAGAAATTAGTCAGGTTCGTTATGCTTATTAATTGACTGACATTTCCGTCATATTATTATATACGATGAATCGAAAGCTGCTCTCTCGTGGAACCCCTCGAAAAGCGGGTGAACCCTCGGTTTCTCTATGTGTGTGTGTGTGTGCGGGTTTTTACCTATGTAGAACGTTTCATTTGACAGCGAAGTCAACGATCTGAAGAAACGCGCCGACGACGTGCGCGTTTCGGCTCTTTCCGCAGATTAGATTTAGGAGATTGAAAACCGCGTGATAAAACCTACATGTTTTTGTTTTTTAGAAGACCGTGTTTTTCTGCGGATAAACAACGTCGCCACTTGTCGTGTCTCGATTTGACAGCAAAATGTGAAAATTACTTTGATTTTATTTAACACAATACAGAGTGAGAACACACATGAATTGATCTCGTTATCGAAATCTTTTTCAAAGCGAATGAAGAAATTTTATATTTGCTGACTAGCATAATATTTTTCTATTGACGACAGAAGAGACAAAAAATAACGCAACATATTTCTCGGATTTGAAATCGAAATTTGGAACTCCCCCCGGAGCGCGCCTTAACAAAAGAAGAGAGTCTATTTATTTTTTCTAGAACAGAATCTAAAATCTTCTCAAAACGAACGAGAAAAAGACTTGCGACAAAGCGATTTTTTTTTTCTTTTTTCCACTCAGCTTCGAAGCGCGAGGCAGAGCATGTAAGAGCGAGACTCGGGTTCGCTGCGAAAAAATCATCTGCAAAACTGTCACAGCGCTTTCACAGACTGACCCTGTTTTTGCGATGGTTGGGAATAGTGTCTTATATCAAGAGAAAAAATCGGACTTAATACGGTCCGTGACTGTACTACGGAGCGATGGAAAACGACAGCGAGAGAGAGAGAGAGAGAGAGAGAGAGAGA